TGGATTCATTTTCTAATATTTCTAATATTTCCAGCTTTGCTCACAATTGATAATGCCCTGTAATTTTCCTTTACAATACTTGCCTGGTTTGGGCAACAAGGATATACTAGCTTTATAAGTGAGCTGAGGAATATTCTCATTTTCTTCTATTGTTTGAAAAAGTTTGTGTAAGTTTGGAAGCACTTGTTATTTGAATTTTGGTATAAGTCAGCTATTAAAACATCTCAATCTGGTGTTTCTTTAACTCCTGATAAAATTTATTTAATGATTATAGGTCCTTTCAGACTTTTGATTTATTCGTGAGTCAATTTTAACCCTTATTATTTTTATAGGAAACTATTTCAGCTAACATTTTTCAACTATATTGGCGTAAGATTGTACAATATATTTTTAAAAAAAACTTTGCTGCATCTAAAATTCTGTTCCTTTACTTATATCTAAAATGGACTATTCCTGACTTTTTTTTATTAGTTGTTAGAAGTTTTGGAATTTTACTAGTTTTTAAAAGCATTGCTTTTTTGCTCTGTTGAGCTTTATTTTTTCTATTGTATTTTTGTGATTCACTTATCTTATTTTTATTAATTCCCTTTTCCTACAATCTTTGCACTTGCTTTCCTAACAAGTTCAATTCTTAGCTCAATAACTGTCAGACTTTTTTTCCTTTTCCTATACAGCATAAGCATTTAAAGCTATTTATTTCCTTCTAAATTCTACTTCAGCTGTATCCCACAAGTTTCTCTGGCTAGTTTGTTGACAGTCTTTGGAAACTTAAGTCCATCTAGTTTGCCTTTTTTAAAAAAAGGTTTTACTTATTAGTTTTTAGAGAGAGCAGAAGAGAGGGGGAGAGAGAGGGAGAAAAACATTGATTGCCTTCCATACATGGCCCGACCTGTGCCCCAACTGGGGACTGAACCAGCAAAACAGGCATGTGCCCTGACCAGGAATCAAACTGGTGACCTTTTGCCTCTTGGAATGATGCCCAAACAACTGAGCCATACCAGTCAGGGCTACCTATTTATTTGATCTTAAGTTGTTAAAACTGTAAATCTTTTAGCAAGATGGAAAACCAAGAAAGAACACCATTGCCATCTAGTGGAGAAACGTACTATTCCCATCTCTAAATGAGACCCACTATCACCATCTCATTCCCCCACATTTGATCAACAAATCCTGTCAAATCTTCATTTATCAGGTCTCTCTAAATCTCCCTTCATCTCCATTTTCCTAGTAGCACTTTAGTATTATTTGTAGTTTTAGTTTGTTTTGTTTTGCTAGAATTGCTTTTGAATCAGTCCTTCTTTAGTCACTCTTTCAACATATTCTCCTTGCTGTACCCTGGCTGCTGTGGCTCAGGAGACTGAGTGCCGGCCTGTGAACCCAAAGATTGCAGGTTTGATTCCCAGTCAGGACACATGCCTGGGTCACAGACCAGGTTCCCAGCAGGCAGTGCACAAGAGGCAACCACACATTGATGTTTCTTTCTCCCCGACCCCTCTAAAAATAAATAAAATCTTTAAAATATATATTTACCTTATTGCTATTGTCACACATTACTTTTATAATTTTACATTAATTGAATGGGTTGCCTATCAATTGCTTGCTTATAAGTTTTAGAACCAATAATAGCAGTCTGACTAGGGATGAACACAAAGTAGAGGTCCAATAAATGTTAGATTAATTGAAAAAAAGTATTTAGTACCATTTGTTCATTTGCCAGATTTATCTAGGAGGCAGAGGAACGTACATAAGTTTCCAAGTGTTTTCTGTAATAACAGATTGATGAATGACATTCACATGTGTTATTCTCCTGTGGGCTTACCTAGTTTTTCTTAAACTTAAAATTATTTTTAATTACAAAATATATGACCGATATGAAAAATGAGTAATTATATTGATGCTGTCGAGAGCTAAGGTTCTTACTGTGGAAGAAGATACAAATACGGAATGGGGAAAGGCAAGGAAGAACCCACTGGGGCTGAATTGGAACTGGAGATATCAGTAACACTTGCAATTTTTAATATGTGTTTTCTTGCTCTTTCTGTTGAAGAGGCCTAGAGGCAATGACAACAGGCCCAGATCTGAGGGTTTAAACACAACTCACCACTCAAAGAAACTTCAGAGGAATGGCTGATTCCAGGGCTGGGTGGGAAAATAAAAATTGGTAAAATAAACTTGGAACAATTGTGCTGGAAAATAAGAAATTTCTCAATAAATGGTAAGAACGTGCCAAAAAGACCCACGAGCCAGCTTAAAAGGTCTCCTGCTGGCCAAATCCAGGACAATTTGACATCAAAACAAATGGGGAGTAACAGAAGGAATAAAATAGGAATCTTTGAGTTCATACTAGCATCAGTGATAAAAAGAAAAAGCTTTTCCTTACAATAGAGTGCCAACTAATAAGTGAACAAGGAATGATATAACTGGAAAACCACCATTTGGCAACCATCGGAGTAACAACTAATTCAGCCAAGGAACATCACTGGGTGCTAAATTAGGGTGTGAAAGTTTGCTGAGAAATAGAATATTTACAATCTCAAAGTATCTCCACACAAAATGCTTAATAGAAAAAAACAGAAACAGTGGAGAAATCCAGCAGATGCCACCTAAAGCAAGTGACTGAAATAAAACACCTTGAAATGGGACAACCCACACCATGGTGACGCACTGAAAAGGGACACATCACTTCTACGACATTCCTGCCCAAAATGCATCCACTCAATCTAATCCTTTAGCAAAACAAATTTTAAAAACCAAGATTAAGAGACATTCTAAAAAATAACTTGGCCTATATGTTTCATGACTTTGACATTTTTGAAAGACACTGAACAACTGTTCTAGGAGACTAGCGGCTTGGCAGCTAAATATAATGTGTTATCCTGGATTAGATCCTGACCCATTTTTATTTTTATTTTTTTACTACAAAGGCCATTCGTGCTACGGTTATGTTAGGAAATATCCTTGTTCTTAGGAAATATACAATATTTGAGGTAAAGAGGCATCATCTCTGTAACTAACATGCAAATGGTCAGGAAAAAAAGCATTTATTCTATATTAATAAAGGGAAACCATGTCCTTAGAACAAAATGACAACTAATAAAATCACAATTTTGTAAACATCACAGTAACATTTTTTTCCAAATAAGAATCATCAAAGGGTGCTAATCTAGGAGGGGCAGATTTGATGAGGAATAGAATATCAACGTGGTCTCAAAAATGTCTCCTCACAAATTAAGCACTAATAGCAAAGGAAAAATAGTAATTACAGTGACTGGCAACATCTCTCCTAAGTGACCACAGTGAACATTACCAATAAGGTACAAAGGGGTGTTCTGTGAGTCTGGGTGTGACCCTGGAGGACACATCTCTCACAGTATTTCAACCCACACTGCACAGCTTAAATTTAAACACAAAGAAACTTGGAAAAACCCACAGTGAGGGATGTCCTATGATTTAACTGTCCTATATTCTTCAAATACATCAATATCACAAAAAACAAGGAGGAGCTAAAGAGTAACGACAAAGTAACCTATGATCCTGGATAAGATACTGAAACAGAAAAATATGAACAAATACAACTGGAAGAGGGAGTGCGGGTTAAAGTATTGTTATCAATGTTAAATTGCTGAATCTGATCGCTGTATTTAGTATGGTCATTCTTACGAAGTACAGATATAGTACTGAACAGTAAAGGATATGATGTCTGCAATATACTCTCAAATGGGTCAAGGGTAAAATGTGTAACAAGAGACAGAAAATGGTAAAGCAATATGAGAAACATTAAAAAAAAAAGTCAAAATGCAGAATGTAAGAATTTTTCCTTTTTAAAATTCTCAAAACAAATACACATGTGTATGTAAATGTTATTTCTAGGATACTAAAATTATTAGTACTCTCCAGCTCCTCCAGCTAAGGAAGCTGGGAGCTAAAAAGTATTAGGTGGTTGGCATGAGGCTGTAAAGAGTTAAGTCTCTCTTTTCTCAACCCTCAATGCCAGTCCACAGGGGGGTAAAAACAGTAATTAATAGCTTTTGGATCAAACTTCTGCACATATAGTATATGTAATTCTTACACCATTTTGATGGCTACATATTCTAATCAATGTATTGAAGAAGTGTTCTATTGGTATCTATATTGTTTCTAATAGATACATTTAAATGTCTGAGATTTTAAAAATTACCTTATTTCATCACTTTTACATTTACTTTAAATCTATGTTTGGCCATAATCTGTCATCTTATTTCACGTTATAGTTTCTGTTTATGTTCCTTCTTTTAAAAAAAATATTTTATGTTCATGTTTTGTTTGGGATTTTCCTTCTCATCAAATAAATTCTATTCGATGTATGGCAGTCATATCTTTATTTCAACAAAATGAAGATTTATAATATATTCCCTTCTAACACTAATGAAAATCATCATAGGAGAACCTGAGTCTGGCAACTGGATCATTTGTAGAAGGAGGCTGCTCAGGGCCTACGTATGAAATTGAGTGGTGTGAGTCCAGGTTCCAGTTAATACCTGAGAAATATGCCTTTCCCAAAGCTGGCCACCCCAACCTTTAACGTGTCTGGCCCACTCTCTAACTGGGTCTTATTATGAGTCCCTTTTGCTGATTTTAACAAAAAGTCCCAAACTGTTTAAAGCAGGAGGAGATATTTCCTGCCTTCACTATTGTTTTTTATTATATTTTACATTATTCTTGTGATCATTCTGGATATTAGTAACAATGTATCTCAGAAACACTAGTTTCAAAACTTAATAAAGTTAAAACTTTATTTACCATAATTTTAAAATAAAAATGCAATATCTATATTATTGATATCATGTTATCTATTCTACATATTTGATAATGGTATTTATACAAACTGTACTTGACATTAGGGAACACTTTGTTTCCCTCAGTAGGATGCAGTTTTCCAAAGCAGAAGTCCCGAACCTCTTAAGTAGTAAAACAAAAATCTTTCTTTGAAGATATATACACATATTTTAAGAATCAGAATGTTTGCTTTGTTCTATTTATTTATTTTTGGTTGGGGGGGAAGGTTGGGGAGAGAATTAAAGAAGCTTCATTTTGCTTCAAAGAGCTTTCCCAAAGAGTGGTAACTCACTTCCATGGTACATCATCATAACAAACGCTGCTCTCTTGGCTTTCATAATAATGTGGATTCACAGTCATGTGTTTTCCTGAAATCCAGTGTATTCATTTGGATATATATGTGGGGTCTCTTGTGTTCTTATTCTCATAAGAAAGGTATTAGCACTATGGCCTCAAGAACAAATTTAAAAAAAATCATATATGCAACTTTTGTGTTTGATTGGGTCTGGGCTAATTTCTAAGGAACCATTCAGCTATAATGGTTTCAGATACTTAAATACCCTGTGAAGCTGCAATATTTAAGGTACTGCTGATTCTAAGAACTAGGCAACCAACAAGGGAATAAGGGTCTGAAGAGTATACGTTTGGATGCCAAGCTCTGAGCAAATAACAATGATCTCCTTTTCACTTCTGCAATATATATAAGTAGAGGGAGAGGATAGTAAGAATTACATGAATAATGTTAAATAAAAAGTGCATACAGAACTGGGCCAATATTTTTTGTTGTTGTTGTTAAATCTGCCACTTATTCTAGTTTAATCAGATGCATGTAAGGCAGACTAATTATACTGTAGCTACTCAGAGCTTCTTGAGAGCAAAAAAAATGAATACCAATCAACTTCCCTGGTTTAAACTTAATTATCTTAAAACATGTTATTTTTTTTAACTTGCACATCTCTGATATGCCTCAAAAATTTAAAGCAGAAAGAAAAATCATATAGGAAGCCAGAAACTTCATCAATACATCTAGACAGACGTTTGCTTGTAGTTTTTTGTATCCAAAACCTTTTTTCCACACATTGCACAGATGCCTAAAACAAAAGAAAACATGTGCACATCAGATAATAATACCAACTAATATCTAATACCAACAAGTATCTAAAACCAATGGTTTGGTTAATTTAAGTCAATTCTGAAGCTAAAAACATAATTTTACAGTATCAGAAAAGAGAAAAAGAAAATATATACTTTAAAGGATGAACAAGTTCTATTTTGCCTTAGAAAAAATAGAATTTGATTATAATAGAATGTATAAAGGCTATTCCTTTTTTATATTATCCAAATCAGCACCAAATAAAATAGATTTGACATGAATAAAAATGGTATTAAACTTACCCTTTTTGTAGGCACAGCCCTGGCAGTAATTAGAACCTGGTTGGTGCACAGAGCTTTTACAAATTCTGCAAGTGGAGAACTTATTCTTTCCATATGGATCAAATCTAGAGATTTTTCAAAAGAAAGAAAAATGTATAACATCACGGAAACACTCTTAGACAACCTCACTTAAGCCACAAATGGGGCTGATCCACACCCTCCCTTCCCGCTATAAGCTCTACAGCCGACAGGGACAGAGCTCTTGCAGCTGGTGATACTGCAAGACGCTCTACACTTCAAGCCCTTTCATGCAGGCTGTGTGCTTATACAGAGCCAGTTCTTAATCCCAAATGTGTTTATAGCCAATGTATTTGTCAATCTATCTGTCTGGTATAATATTATGGAAACTGATGAAATATGGGTACAGAGTGGTTGAGTCTATTAAAAACTAAGTGACTGTTTTAGGATGACTAGTTAAATGTGAATCATTAGAACTGCTGTTGATTTAGGTGTGGGTAAGACAACTGTTAAAAGTTGAGGAAAAATCGAAAGTGGGAGGATTTGGCACTTTGCATCTGTCAGTTCTTGCTCCACTTTAAAGACACTGGAAATATATATTCTTGTTTATAAATTATATGAAGAAAATGATGAAGAACTCATACTCAAAAGGTTTTGTCTTAATACCAAATGACTGATAAATATATAGAGAGTATTATGTTTTAATTTAAAATAAAGTATGTGTATTTTTAAAGATTGCTTACTTTCACTAATTTCTTCAATTAACTGATATAATCTCTTGGATAAAAAAGATCCTACTATATAAAAATGCCACATTATAGGGACTGAAGTGCAAAGTACCCTTAAAGGAAATACTTTCCCTTAAGCTGGCAGTAACTTTTTCTAACAATACTCATATAGCAAATACCAGCACTTTCTTCTCTTTGGGTACATAATACAACAACTCATTTTCAGGGGTTAATTTTTCCAAACCCAGAAGAGTATCACTTTACTCCCCACAAGATAGGCATTATTCTTTTCAATATGCCCAATTGTTTCAACCTGCACGTCTGGAGATTACTTTTTCTTAAAATCATATTCTATCATTCTAAGATGTACATTTTAATATCTCTGAAATCTTAAAAGTATTAATTGGCAGAGCTTTTTCTTTCTTAAAGTAATGACGTATCTTATAAATGATGGTATCTTAGATTCAATGCAACACAGTAGTGCATTTTCCAAAGTGAAATGTTTAGAGAATCCAAAAATAACTGCTTTTTAATGATATCAGGGTAACTTTGGGAGCATAAAGGAACTAGAAGTATCTAAATTCTACAATATGTAAAAATAACAACTCACTCAATAATGGTCTTAACTGCATGTTCTTAAGACATCAATAAGTCAGTCAACAGTATATAATATGACACTACTCATCACTTAAAAGATTAAGTCTACTGTGCTATTTATGTGCCAGGCACTGGATATGGTAAAAGTTTTATTTTTACTATTATTTCTAATCCTTGCGATGATATCATCAAACAGGTATTTATTTATTCAGCAAATACACACTGGGTGCCTACTACATGCCTGCTACTGCTTTACATACAAAAGATAAACTTGACAGGCAAAGCCTCTGCCCTTGTCAAGCTGACATTCTAGGGAGAGGAGATGGACAATGAGTAATGAAACAAATACATTCTTCAGATAGTAATGCCTGCTGAAGAGGAAATTCAAACAGGACACTGGCAGCCATAAAGGGACGAGGGAAGACATTAGTTTAGATGCCGGTTACAGACCCTCTCTGAGACGGTGACCTTTCAGCTGGGACCCAAGTAACAAAGAAGAGGAGCTATGTGAGCTCTGACTGGTGAGCTCTAGAAGAAGGGAGCACTAAGCACAAACCTCCTCCAGACAGAGTGGGGTTGGCATAGCTGATGCAGGGGTTGCTACCACAGCAAGTCAGAGGTGAGAGGGGCCAGATCTCAGAGGACCTTGTAGCAACATAGTAGGGCACCTGGAATTTAGTCAACGTAAAAAGAACACCAATGGAGGTTGTGAGCAAAGAAGTTACATGCCCTATAAACTTAACTATAAGGAAATAGAGAGGAAACAGAGAGAGAGAAAGTTACTAAGGTATCCATGTTAGAAATAAGTAGTTTGGAACAAGGCAGTAGCAGTGACATGGACAAAAGCAGGTGGATTCAGGTTACACTTTGGTAGCAGAACCAAAGCTCTTGCTGATGGGTGTGAGAAGTGAGGCAAAGGAGGGAACCAGTGAGGAATTCTAGCTTTAGGCTTGGACGGTGATGCAATGACGAGAAGACTATGATTAGAAGACCAAAAGAAAAAGAGGTTGTCTGTTAAGACATCCAACTGGATAAGTCAAGTAGACAGTTCGATGTATGTTTGGGGCTCAGAGAAGTCAGGACTAAGGATATACATTTGGGAGTAATTAACAGACAGTTTGAACTCAAAGCTATTGGACCAAAGTCAATTGAGGAATTATAAATGTATAAATATATAAAAAAGAAAAAGTCTAGGATTGGGTCCAGAGGCACCTGATTGAAAAGGAACAGCCAGTGAGGTGGGAGGGACGAAGAATGTGGTGTCCCAGAGTCAAAAGAATAAAGGGGTCCAAAAATAAAGAGTTGTTAAAACGTTAAGCAAGGTAAAAATAAAGTAGTAGACATCAGTTTTAAAGGTCACGTGTGATCCCGACTAGAGCAGTTTCAGGGGTGTGGTTGGGACAGAGGCCTGACTAGAACGGCTGAAGGAGAGAATGGAACTTAAGGACACCGTGAAAGTATCTAGACAGGGTTTTTGAAAACTTCCGCTGTGAAGGGAAGCACGAAAATGAGGTGTCAGCTGGAAAGGTTCATGGGATTTTTAAGATTGACCATAATAAAACAGTGCCAGTAATTGTTTTTAAGGTGGGAGGTATTTTTATTCCCATTAGCAGATGAAAAAGTAAAGTTCAGAAAAGTTAAGAAACTAGCTTAACTTGTGTAATGTCACAGAGCTAGACAGTGACAGAGCTTAGATTCAAATTGAAATCTGACTCCAGAACTTAGGCTATTTCCATATTTCTCTGTTACCTCTGATTTGCAGGATAATTAAGAATTAGAAAGCCCTGGCTGCTGTGGCTTGGTTGGAGTGTCATTCTATGACCAAAGGGTTACAGGTTCAATTCTCAGTCAGGGTGCATGCCTGGATTGAGGGTTTGATCTCCAGTCCAGACACATGTAAATCCCCGATACTGGCCTGTACTGGAGGCAGCCAATAATGTTTCCCTCTCACATTGATGTTTCTCTCTCTCCCTCTCTTTCTCTCTAAAAACAATGGAAAAATGCTCTCTGGTGATTAAAAAAAAAGTCTAGAAATAATAAAAGTTATGTTTTCTGGTGAAATTATAAAAAGACAGTAGCATTAATATCATCATATATTGATACAGTGAGGAAGCAGGCTGTAACAGATAGCTTGGTTTTGCAATGCTAGAAACTACCCAACTGTATTATCACAAGAGAATGGCGCACACCAAATTCATGTCAGTATGCGTAAAATTAGAAAGAGTGGTAATTTAATGTATTACTGCTCTATAGATGCTCCTATACCTACCTACCTTGCTTTTTTTGAGGTCAAAGCTTTATTTTCATTCAGCTTTCTCCCACCACTTTCTATATCAAAACAAACATGTATTTCAGTTAGTTATTTCTATACATTTCACAATACACAATTAGTTAAAAAGTTCATTTTTTGATCTACAACAGACTAGCCTATATCAAAATTTTTGAAAATCCTCATTTCTTAAAGGTTCTTAGGCTATTACTTAATAGAAAACAATTACTTATTAGAAAAACAATAAAAAACAATAAAAATTAGATAAAACAATCATTTTATTTCTCAGACTCAAAGTAGGAATTTAGAAATGGGTCTACATTTAATTTTTCCACTGTAAAATCTAGAAACCACTATTTCAGTGCCATGGACCTTGAACACAGTGGAAGTGTTTCTTTTCTTTCCCTTTGACATTTGCACTGTATTTAATGAATAGGAAGATGATATGAGCTAGTCTGTAATAAATTACCTTACAACAAAAAATGATTAAGAAGGTGAAAACATTTAAATGATTTAAGAACATAAAGATCAGGTGAGGAAAAGGGGATTAGATACCAAGTGTAATTAAGTTGAATTAAATCAATTACTATGATATACTCATTGTTTGAAAATCATTTAATTATTTTACTATCTCCTGTCTAGCAAATTAGGAACTCCAACATGTAACTAAGAGAACTAAGTAAGATACTAAATTGTTGGGAGATCCGGTATAAGTTAATGTTTAATAGATGAAATATTTTGTACACATAACATTTCATTTTACGAATAACCTAAAAACTAAAATATTATTCACAGGAAGTATCTGATCCAACCTCTGTGTTCTAAAAGGAAAAATACCTGTGGTATTCCTTGCACCATCTTTCCATGTATCTGGAGTGATAACAGTACCAAGTTTCTTTTCACCTGTTACAACAAGATAATAAAAGTAAGGGGAAGTAGTACTTACTATTTAATAAATACACTATATTGTGCCTAAAGTTCACAATGGTATCAACAGTCATATTATAGTAGGAGACTGTTAATGCTGAGGTTGAGGTCAGTGAACTGAAACTTAAGATAATAACTGTGGGAAATCGATAGCTGACTCTCAGTAAAATCTGCAGTATAATAGGCTTATAATAGGCTTCCTCTGTACACTTTGAACAAATCGGGTAAACAAATCTGATAAATCTATTAATTTCGTGAATATTTACTAAGCAGGTATATACTATTTACATCATGTATGAGCCATTGTACAAAATACAGAGAAAACGAAACCCAATTAGTTAGGGGAAATTCCAAATTACAAGGAGCTTTCTGATTTCTCTCACAGTAATCCTTAACTTGGGCTTTATGGGTAGACCTTAGGAGACATGTGATCTAGATGAAATTGTACACAAACTTTTTGTATATTCCTTTTTTAAAATAGACTCTGGTAAGAGTCTACAGTTTTCATCAGATTTACAAGGGATTCAGAGAACCAAAAAAAAAAAAAAAAAGTTAAGACCCATTCAACTGAAATTTAAGCTAGAAAATAAAAAGTAAAATAGAAAATAATAATTGAGAGCTAACATTCATTCTAGGAGAAATTCCATGGAGAAAGGACAACCTTAGCTAGAGAAATCCAGGAAAGTTCTATGGGAAACAGAACAGATAAGAACAGTAAGTTAAGAACAATAGAGAGGTTATGTGGCAAGGTAGCTGTGAAGGAAGAGGAGGAGAGAGAATGAAGACAAACTAAAAGAAGGACACACCCTAAGGAAAGGCATAGAAAGCTCAGAGTGCACACAGACACGCAAAATAGTTTGGTTCGACTGAAGTGTAGAAAGGATAAGGGTTAGTGAAAATAAAGATGGAAAGATAAGCTGAGGTCTTACAGTTGAGGACAGTCCTAAATGCCAGGCTCCAAACATAGAAACCCAAAAGTATTTCCTGTAGACTGTAAGTTTATTAAATTAACTTGCCCAAAGCCATTCTTTTACCTAATATAAGATCTGTGATTCAAACTTATGGGTGTCTGTGTTCAAAGTTTTATCTATTGGGGGTATATTAAAAAAAGGGATTATGTTAACTAGACAGTAATCAAGGTAAGAGGACTTGATACCTTGTCACAGAAAAGCCAGATAATTCTAGCTTGGGGAAAAAGAGACTTGGGCATATGACAGATATTTTTAAATATATAGACAGTTTGTGAGGTCCAAAACCCATAAGCTATCTTTTAGATTGGCATTAGAATCACTAGATGGCACCCTGGCTGGTGTGGCTCAGTGGTGTGGCCAGGTCCCCAGTTGGGGGCGTGAGAGAGGCAACCCGATGTTTCTTCCCCTTCCGTCCTCCCTCTCTTCCCATCTCTCTAAAAATAAATAAAATCTTTTTAAAAAGAATCTTTGGATACATGGGAAGGAAAGACTCGTCTTGCAGGCTTTCATGAAAAAAGCCCTGAAGCCATTGGGAGGGATACTAATTGCGGGTTGTCAGATAGGATGCTCAGTAAACTTTGTATTTCAGATACACAAAGAAATAGTTGTGTGTTGTTGTTGTTTTTTTTTTGTTCTGAAATAATGTCCTAAAAGTAAGTGCTCCGGGACAAAGCACCCCTTACAGCAGTAAGGCGCAGCAAACTGAACCAAGTCACAAATATTGCATAGGATATACTTATACAAAAAAATTATTCGTTGTTTACCTGAAATTCAAATTTAACTGGGTGTCGGCATTTTTAATTGTTTAAATATGGAAAATATAGAAGTGACTTAAGATCTATTCCAAACTTAAGGGTCTGTGGGTTGAGGAAGCCAGTCAAGAAGCTGTATGGGATGAGATCCGGGGTCGGGGAAAGCAACGGAAATATACAAAGAGGTGAAAAACCTGAGACCACCCGAAATACAAAACACAAAGCAGTATGTTTTGGGGCGGCGCAGGAACGATCCAGGACAGGGTAAGAGGGTAGAGGCTAAAACGAGAGACCGCGACAGAAGTGAAAAAGGAAAAAAGACAAGACAAAATTTCCAGAGAACTCCAGTTAGGTTCTCCTACTTTCCTGCCGCAGAAGCGGCCCCTTAACTCACATTTTTCGCACACCATCCTTCTGCGACGGTTCCCTTAGCAGCAGCAGTACCAAAAGCAACTTGAAAACATCAATACAAGCAAGGAAGAATTCCCCTTCCGGGTTACAAAAATCCACTTCCGGTCCCTCACTCCGCCCCGCCTACTCTACACCTGGAAAGCCGAGGGAAGAATAAACACGAGCAGGGAGGCGGGGCTGTTTCTTTTGCCCGCCCCCCCATTTCTGTGATTGGCTGTGAGTCCTTGGGTCTCCGCCCCACAAGCCTGAGCGTGCGCGAAGGTTCCGGGGGCGAGTCACACCTGGTGGTGGGAGGTAGTAGCTCCCCCTTCCCTTCTGCGGGCGGGAGAGTTAGGTAAGCCCAGCAGAGCATTCCGGTACGCGGGCCTCCTGGGGATGCAAACTAGCCTCGCCAACTTCCCAGATGACCGCAAGCCTCTGTGCCCCCGGCCCCTCCCCGCGCCTCCTTTCGGTGTGACCCAGGAGCTGCCTTGATGGGCCAGCCGGCCGTTGGACTTTCAGTGTCTGTCTCTCCCTTTCTCCTGGTCTCCACGCCTGTGCTCTTTGCTTGTGCCTCTCAGCTAGTCCCCCTTTGCCCGCACTCCGGTCGGCTGAGGCTCGGCCAGAGTCCTGGACTGACCCAGTTTATGGTGGGGCTGCAGATAAAGGCCCGGCGATTCCCGCGAAATCTCGCCGGGAGCTGCTCCCAAGGGCCTTTCACCCCACAAGATCTGCGGACCCGGACCAGGGTCGGACCGCAGACGTCAGACGTCAGGGCCATAGCCCCTCTAGGGGGCGCCTGATGGGTGTCCTCGTAAGATTGCTCGTCGGGGCCTAACACAGGGCTGGTCTCTCAAGAGGGGCTAACACTTAACCTGCTCTCCTTTGTTCCCTTGTTCATTTCATTCCTTCATTCATTGATTCAGTAAGAGTTTGAGTTTGGGTATTGCTCACTGTATTACATCCCAGGCTGGTCATGTCAGTTGGAGTTCTCAGAGTGGTCCAGAAAAAAATGCGAAGGGGTGTCCATACAGTGTATTGTAGATCTGCTTTCCGGGCCCTAGACTGAGACTAGGACCTCAGAAATTTTTCCTTCCTCCCTTTTCCTTCATACTCTTCTTGACCCTTGGTGTGTGTTTTTATCTGAAATGGCTTTAAGCACTTGGAGGCTTGGGGCCTTGGACATGTTCCCTAACCTGTTTTAGCCTGTTTCCTTATCAGTAAAATATTTGCCTTTGAAAATTATAGTGCAAATTTGTATGCTAATGGATGCCACCCCGTGTGTGTGTGTGTGTGTGTGTGTGTGTGTGTGTATGTGTGAGTGTGTGTGTGTATGTAAAATATATATATTCTGGAATAACCACAGTCACCTGTGGACTGTTTAAATTAATAAGATCCTTACTTAACATTAGTGCTATGGATAAGCTCTCTGCTAGGTAATTTATAAAGGGGTGTGTGTGTGTGTTTTATATATAGGTGGATTCTTCCTTCCATTTATGCTTTACTTTTGATTGTAATCTAGCACCTGTAACAAACATTGTCATTTTGGTATTTCTGGAGCGCTGGAATCCCTTAGTTTAGCGTAATGTTTTTTGAACTCTCTTGGTTACACTGGCCACTGTTGTATTTAAGTGTGCACTTGGTGGTGTCACTTGGCATTTGCTAAGAAGATGTAAATTACTGTAATGTTAGACAAGGATCCACACTGGTAAAAAATGCCAACAATTTAACCAAACTGTATTCATGGAGTTTTTAGAATGCATAGGTATATTTCCAACCCGGGGAAATCATTAATCCCTGCAGTTTGTTTTCACATCAGATTTTGGCAAAAAAAAAAAAAATAAATAAAGGAAAAGGAATCGTTTAATTGGTCCTAGCACATGACCATTTTGCAGGAATGAGTGACAAATATATAAGAAATTAGGATTAAGAAATTTGTCCTCTATAGTTTCTGAGAGCTGTTTACCATATTAGTCCACATGTGCATTTGCATTATGCATCTTCCTATATTCTGAAACTAATAGTTTGGGTCATTACTTATTTTTAGGTGTTTAGAACAATGGAAAAATTATTGTCTATGCTCTTCTTAATTTGTTTTTCATTAGACAACCACTCAAGAATACACCATGAAAAATACCGATATCAAGAGACTACTGTATACCCATCTTTTATGCATATTCTCAATTATCCTAAGCATCTTCGTTCCATCATTCTTCCTGGAGAACTTCTCAGTATTGGAAACACACTTGACGTGGTTATGCATCTGTTCTGTTTTTGTAACTGCTGTCAATCTAGTATTATATTTAGTGGTTAAACCAAATACATCCACTAAAAGAAGTTCATCATCATACAAGGTAAGGCCTATTTCTAGTTTACTGATTTTTAGATAGTGGGAGTGTCTTTTAATGGAAAAATAAAGCCGTTGTCAAGAACTCAATCGGATTATTTACAGTGACTAAAGAGAATCTGATTTTTTTTTTCAAATTTTTTTTCCTGTTACTTGCTGGAAGGCTGCCCACAATATTTGATAGATCCTTGCCATGCATTAATTGTGGAATTAGGGTATCTTCAGTAAATATAGCAAATATTTCATGTATCATCACATAATAAGGACTGTTTGTGTTTTTGTGTATTCTAGCAGTCTGTTTTTTGTAAATAGTTCATAAATACTGATTAACAACATACATACCATAGATACCAATACACATCAATACATACCATAGAAACAACTGCTTTTTGCCTGTAATGTGGTTCGGTAGGTAGAATGAAGTGGGAAGTGGGTGATACTTGCCTTTAGCTTTTCTGATAGGGCTGTGTTCAGGGATGTGCTGACTGTGCACAAGACATGATCTGAATTCAGAATCCCCAAATCCAAAGAACATTTAACTGTTCATACATGAGTATGTTATGTTTAAACATACAATGGAAACATTTAATGTCCTTTAGGCATTCTCTTGAGTCTTTAAATTATTCATTTCTTTTTTAGGTAACCAGATTTTTGAAATGCTGTATCTACTTCCTTATGTCTTGTTTCCTCTTTCATGTGATTTTTGTTCTATATGGAGCACCATTAATAGAGTAAGTCTGAAATTCCTACCTTAAGGCCATTATATTTTAAAACTCTTGTTTACTAAAGAAAGGGCTAATTCTGTTGATGGTTAGAGAAAGACTGGTGTGTTTGATTATTGGATCATGAAAGGATACTGCCATTGCCCTTCCTTAGCAGTGTTATTCTTTTAAAAACAGCAATAACTTAATTCATCAAAGGCTCCTATTATCCAGCCTTCTAATACGCAATCGCCTGTTGGGGTGGGGGTGGGAGGTGTAGATGAGAAACTATATTAAAGCCAAACAATGTGTGACCCTTAGAACCTCTAAGGGAACTTACGATGGTGATCGTATCAGTTCTTAGTAAATGTGATTCTGAAGTGCTTGAAAAAGCGTTTATTTTCTTAAGAAAAGTCAATAGACTTGTGTATTTAAATACTTAATAAGCTAATGTTCATAATTTAAAGATAAAGGTAACGCTTTTTTAAAACACCAATTTTAAGTTAGTGAAAATTAAATTCATGACTATTTTTTATATAACGTTTATTACAGTTTGGGAAACTAGTTTAGTGGTGATTAATGATCATGGTGAAATGAGTGGTATATATACACACACATATAGCTATGTATATAGGTATCTATTTATATATAGTTTCTTATATGTACATATTAAGTTAACAGGTAATTCTTTTCTAGAGAAGGGAAGACAAGACCTTTGTAATGGTAAATGGATGTCTATTTAGTCCATTTTAGAGTAGAATAAATGTCCAGAGCAATGGCTCTCAAAGTGGTTCTAAAACCAGCAGGAGCACTTTATTGAAGTGCAGATTCTCAGACCTCAGTCAGAAACTCTAGAGGCGGGGTCCCCCAGTCTTTAGTTTATCCAGGTTTGTAAGTGGCTCTGATAAAAGCTAAAGTTCCAGAGACTATTGAGGAAGAAAGTTAATGATCCAGAAATGAGGTTTCTTGCCTTGGACAGAATGGATCAGAAGATATTCAACACTTTGGAACTCTTACCATTAAAGCCAGATATTTGCTAGATTTTTTTTATAGCTTACATTTTTTTTTATCGTCATCATTTTGGTAGGACTCATGTTTACCTTTCAAAGTAAAATACAAGAAGATATTTTTATATTAAGTTTATTTAAGTACCAAAGATCATGTAAGCGTGTATATTTGTTCCTTTAACACTTTTTAAAAAATTAATGAAGTTTTCTTTTTATAGGTTGGTGTTGGAAACATTTTTATTTGCAGTTATTTTGTCTACTTTTACTACTGTACCTTGTTTGTGTTTGTTAGGACCAAACATCAAAGCATGGCTAAGAGTTTTCAGTAGAAATGGGTAAGTTTTAATTTCATATTTTAATGATGTTTGAAGTTTTAAAAACAGTAATGTATTTTTCTATTCATGGCAGCTGGCTGATTGTTCCTTGAGTGTTTCTCAGCACTGTGTGGTTCTCGGAGGTGCCTTAAAAGCCCACTGCATTTGGGGACTGGAGAGAGGGAGGGAGCGGTATGCATTTGAGGGGGGATCCAAGCAGGCAGTAGCACAGGTCCCTCCCTCTACTTTAGCAAGATTAGCTGTGCATTTTTCTGTGTGGTAGATTTCCACTAGGCCTTTTGTTTGAAAAAGTTTCTGCTACCAAAGTAAAGCTCTGAAAGCCACTCCTCAGGAATAATTTGTGCACTGTGATAAAATTGCTTCCATATATCTTACAGTGTAGAATTGGGGTCGACAATCTAAAAATGTTTAGTGTAACAGCTACCATTTTTTGTTTAGCCTCTACTGTGATAATGACATCTGAGTGTAAGTTTTACAGGATTTTATTTCCTTAGCAGCCATATATATTTTCAACGTAGCTAAATTAAAGTTTTAGCTTCTTGAAAGGCATTGAGATTATTTCTAACAGAAATGGTTGAGTTGTAACTAATGAAACTAGAAAGTTACTTGCTGCCCATAATTTTGTCCTGTTTATCACCTAGCAGCAAAAACTCCTGAGCTCTTACTCTGCGTGCCATGTTGTGCATGGGGACTCTGAAGTGCTAGCCATGATTCTCTCCCCAGGGAGCCTGATGTTCAAGGCACAAGAATGAAATGAGCAAACAACGTGAGGCTAAAATCATGTAAATCAGACAATAAGTACTGTAGGAGCCCAAAGGGGCAGGAGATCACTGAAGAATGAGCTGGAGGAGGGATGATCTGTGAGGGATTTGGATCAGGAGTACGCTATTTGGTGAGACCCAGGGGAAAGGGACAGGTACCTCATGCTAGGGGACTGAACTGACACCATAGAAACTGAAATGAGCATGGTATCATTGTGAGATTTGGAAGGGAACGGCCCAATCAGAGCAGAGGATGCCTGAGGGGAACAAGGCTCCATAAATTACTGACTTTTTCTTTTTGGAATGAATATTGTTTGTTCCCCTTCAGAACCATCTTCTCGTGCTCAAGTCTCTAGAAAACAAAAGTGTAATTATTGAACACTTTTTCCCACATTATCACAACAGTATTCCAAATGGCATTAATTTCTTTTAGCATTTTAGTTTGAAATTTTTAAACAGTGAAAATTGGTTGAAACCTTATTGGTTTGGATTGGTGATTTATCCAGCTTTGAATTCCGTTTCTGATAATCGTGAATTTGGGGGAGATATCTGATTCCGTTGTTAGTCCTGCCGTAATGTGGCATACACAGTTCTAAAAATCCCTGCACTATGCAAACTTGGCCAATCAAAAACAAGGTGGGAACTTAATAAAAATGGTAGGACAGTTTTATACATGTTAAACATGTTAAAGAAGTACATAAGTATTATGATAAATTTGGCCCTTTTCCTTGGGAAAAACCTGAAATTTGCTTTTGGGAGTAGGTATGGGAAGGGTTGCCACAAATAAGTTCTTATAAAGTGGTAAAGGAGAGTTGTTGGGAATCTGACAAAGTTAAGGGCAGCTGTGGAGGGTGTGGTTCATACACAAAAAGGAAACCGAGGTAACTGGGAGATGAGCTTTTCAAACAGTATTTAGATATAATTCAAATGTAATATACTTCATTTACTGAAAGTATACAATTAAATAGTTTTTAGTATATTCACAGATATATGCAGCAATCACCACAGTCAATTTTAGGACATGTTCATCACCTTAAAAAGAAACTGTACCCTTTTGCCATCACTCCCTTATCCCCTTTTCTCCAGCCATAGGTGACCACTATTTACTGTCTCTATAGATTTGCCTGGTCTGGACACATCATAAAAATGAAATCATATAATATGTAATCTTTTGTGATTGGCTTTCTTTCCCTTAGCTTAATGTTTTCAAGATTCATCGATGTTGTAGCATGTACTGAATCCTTTTTATGGCCGAATAACATTCCATTGTATGGACATAGGAAGTCTGTCCAGAAGGTATCCAGCCATGTAATATTAAAAATAGAGACATTTATTGAAGAAGATACAAGATACAAGAAACATTGTATATAGGGCAGTGACACCTCAGTCCCCTTCACAGCAGGCACCTTGGCACCTCATGCAGTTCTCACGATTGTTAGTAGCTGCACTGCCATATTTTCCTGTATCTCACCAACTGTCTGAAAAATCTCTTCCCTTTCAAAAGTCATTTTAATTTTGGGAAAAGCCAGAGTTGCAGGGCCCCAAATCTGGACTGTGGGAGGCTCAGTCACCTGGGTAATTTGATGTTTTGCCAAAAAACTCTGAACAAAACGTGATGCATGAGTGGGCGCATTGTGATGAAGCTGCCCATAGCTGCGGCCTTCTGAATCATCTGAATTGTTTCCATGGAGGAATATTCAAGCTTAACACAAAATTTGATGCAGATTAGTTGCTCTGTTCACTCAGTCATTTTGAATGTGATGGCCACACAGTACACATACTCAGCGGCATCTGCTGCCCCCCTGACTAGTATGGTGAAGACATCATTGTTCACGGATGCACATTCTAGTCCACTCTCCTTGGCTGCCAGGTTACAGCGATGTGCAAGCCATTCTTGTTGTATTAACAATGGCTGGACTTTTTCTGCACAGACCTCGCATACCACGATTCATCAATTGATGGACGTCTGGGTTGTTTCCACTTTTCGCTACTATGACTAAGCTGCTATGAACATTTGTGTACAGGTGTTTGTATGGACGTATGTTTTCATTTCTCTTGAGCAGACTCCTAGGAGTGGAATTTCTGGGTCATATAGTAACTCCATGTTTGATTATTTGAGGAACTGCCAGTCTCTTTTCCAAAGTTACATTCCCACAGCAGTGTATGAGGGCTCCAGTTTCCCTACATTCTTGCCAACAGTTGTTCACCTGATCTTTTTTTTTTTATTATCACCATCCTAGTGGGTGTGAAGTGTCATTTCATTGTGATTTATTGGCATTTCCCTACTGACTAATGATGTCAAGCCTCTTCTCATGTGCCCTATTGGCCATTGTATGTTTTCCTTGGAGAAATATCCCTTTAGATCCTATGTTCATTTTTTTACTGAGTTATTTGTTTTTTTAATATTAAGTTGTAAGAATTCTTTATATACCCTAGATACAAGTCCCTTATCAGCTACGTGATTTGCAAATATTTTCTCCCTTTCTGTGTGTTGTCTTTTCACTCTCTTGATAGTGTCCTTTGATAGTGCCAGTGAGAATATAAATTGGTTCAAACTCTATGAAGGGCAGTTTGATAATACCTATAATTACAAATACCCATCTTTGACCCAGCACTTCTAATAGGATTTCATCTTAAGTATATTGGCATACCAACAAAATATTGATTAGAGAAGATTATTCACTGAAACTTTAAAAATAGCCTAAATGTCCTTTCATAAAGGAAGGATTAAATTAAATTTAATCTACACCGTGGAATGCTATTCAGTTGTTTAAAAAAAAAAAACCCACAGAAAAACAAACCCAGTCAAGTCTTTATTTACTGAAATGCTGTTAAGTAGAGAAAAACAAGGTGGAGAAATGTGTGTAGAATGCTACCATTTATGTATAAAGCTGCAGGAGAGAATAGATATACCTGTACGTCGTTGGGAGAACACCTAAAAAACAGCTAAAACAGTGGTCGGCCCTGGAGAGGGGATCTGAGAAGCTAGAAGACAGACTAAGGAGACTTTCCACTGACTGCCCTTTGGTATCTTTGGTATTTGACCATTTTAATGTACTATGTAGTCAAAAGGAAAATTTTAAATTAGTTAGATTTTGCCAATACTTAGTTTAAACTTACTTTTGGTTATTGAAAGTAAGACCTGTGTAAAGAATCTGTTAGATTTCTCTCATGCCACCTAAGTTTTAGTAGACTATAAAAATATCCTAAAATTTCTAACATACAATCAGAGGACAATTCATTTGCTAGAAAACTATGGCTAAAAATAACCAGTTATAAAACATTTTATTTAACATCACATTGGGCATGGCATGAAGTAGTAATATGTAAAAAATATTTCAGTATTTTTTAAAGCATTTTCATAATGTTATATATTTAATTTTCAGCAATTTGGTGAGATACTCCTGTTTTCACATTTTCTAGATGAAGATGTTGGAAAGCTGACAGGTTAAGTGATTTACTGAAGCCCAATAGCCAGATCATCTGATGGTATAGACATTTTTTGAATGCAGATCATCTGATGGTATAGAAATTTTTTTTAAAAGACGCCACTAATCAAGGGTCAGAAAACAAGCTCCTGCCCTTTCTTCACCACTTAGTGGCCAATGATATTAGACAAGCTATTTAACTTAACAGATCCTCATAGGTAATGTTGTTAGAATAATACTAATCTGTACTTCACAGGATTATTGTCAGAACTGAGTGAAATGATGAGTAAAATCAAATAGTAAGTGCTCAAGAAATGTTCGTTCAATGGACTAGCAAATGCCATGGAGCGTTTTTATATTTCATACTTCCAATCTGTTTGCCTTCGTACCTCTTCCTGGTTCAGGCAACAGACCAAGGAGTGCAGGGCACAGGCAGTCACGGAGAAGGAGGAACCGTTCTTTTCAGTTCATTGAATGTAAAAGTAATTTGAACTTTTCTATGAGAGGGGAACTTAAGTCTTCATGTCTCCACCATACATTAGTGATTGTTCACCTTTTTCCCTAACTTTTATCACACTTAGAATAAAAAGCATGTCAAATTTTGAATGACTTAAGAAATAATTATTAATTCAGTAGATTAACTTGTTTAATGATAGAATAGGCCTTCTTAAATGTTCAGTGTTAGGCAAAAATATTTTTAAAATTCAAAGATCTGGTGGTTCTGCAGTAAAATATGAACTACCCACAAAAAACCAATTACTTTTGTGTTATTTTTAAATTGTCTTAATATACAGTTAGCATTATTTATATCGAGTCACAACTTTAATTTCAAAGAATTCTATTTAAATAGGTTATACAAAACATGAATATGTTTTTTCCTACCCAATAATTATTTACAACAGAAATTAAAGTTCAGATTTGAAGTTCTTATGCTATAGTTCTAATTAATTAAAAGTATTTAAAATATCTTAAAGTACTGATTGAAGATTTTAGAGCTTACAATATTTTTATCATTCACGCTGTGTTTAGTGTATAAAACATGGTAGAGTTTTTGTCTTATTTGTATAAAGCCAGCCCTTCCAGTATTATTGAAATATGATAATTCAGATATTCAGTATGAACAGGCCAATTTTGAATTAGGCTGACATCTCACTTAGTATTGACTCAATATAAATGTTTATACTACTTTGAAGTGAAATAAGTATTACATCCTAATTTTAATGTATTTATTTGCTTGTTTAAATTGAGTGGATGATAATAACTTGAAGACTGAGAAAGACAAAAGCTTTAATTGTGAGAACTGTGTTGGAATTATATCCCAAGAGTAAAGGACTTTACTGTCGAGATTTAATACATAATAAATGACACTTTAACAAGACTTTCCCTTAAAGTAAACGTAACAGACTTTACTGTCGAGATTTAATACATAATAAATGACGCTTTAACAAGACTTTCCCTTAAAGTAAATGTAACGTTATTCCAGATTTTTTAAAAAATACTATTTTAAAGAGACTTGAATATAAAAAAGTCATTTGGTTTCTTTAAAGTTCTGCCAATTTTTGGTATGCTTATTACTGAATGAATATACTCAATTTGTACTACTTTAATTCAGTTTGTTGCCTTTGTATTACAATTATTGTGGGTTTCTTTTTTCCATTTGCAGACTCTCTTCTAAAGGAAAATAATCTGACTACCTTAAACTTATACTTCTCATTGAGGTTTGCTTTTGGCTAATTCTTTTATGTGGTTATGTAAATGTTTAAGTGAGAATCTGATCACTTTTGGTGAAATGAAAAAAGTTGAATTTCTGAATAGGTTCTTAAACCTTTGGTCATCTTGCCAAGGTAAAGACTGTAAGGCCTATTTGTGTAGACAAAGACAACAGGCCTCTTTTTGTCACCTTTGGATTGAAGTGGGTGTTATTTTGAAAAAACCACTGTGGACATTAAGAGTAAAAAGATACGAATGGTGAAAAATGTGTACATATAAAAAAAACAGGTAGTTTAGCTTTAATGTGGGCACAAAAATTTAGTGGCAAAAACAGATTCGTTTTAATACTAATTCAGGGGCAATGGGGAAAGTTTATATAAGAATTCTGTAAAATATCTTCTGCCACTAGGAGGAGTGGCGTGGTGTCTCCTTTTTAGATGAAGAGATGAACAGTTAAAAATATCAACTCCATCACCACAAGCCCTGTTTTGATGACGATCTGTCTAAGCCACAGTGTTTAGTGTGAACTACCTCAGGTACTTGATAGTGTTTGACACATAGTTGGCATTCAAAATGTTCTATTTATTTCAATTAATATTTGACGTAATGAATTTTGGTGGAGTCAGTGTGGACAGTTACTTGGAGCAGGTGAGGTGTCCCCACAAAAGACAGAGCGAGAAAGCGCAAGCAAGCATTTTGAAACGATGCTTGGTTTTGGTGGAATATTTAAGGATGATTTAGTGACAGGTACGTAAGCAGATAGAAGGGGAAAAAGAGGCAGTTTTAAACATCTAAGGAAAATTAAAAATTATATTTACTGTAAGAACCACTGTGTGCTTCAGCTGTGATGAATATTTTCATAATGATAAACTGTACATACGGTGCTAGGGATTCAGCCAAGAGAAGGAGATGTTACAGTCAGCGAGAAGATGTGAGTCAGAAATGTGAATGTGGGTGTGGGAGGCTTGTGGGTAAAGAATGCTAAATCCTCTTCTTCCACTGTAGAAAGCAGAAAGTAACTAAGTCTTTAAACATCATACATAATGTGTATTCTTTTAAATTCAAGGTACATAGAAGGATCAGTGAAGAGCTGAAAGTCTACTGAGGGAGGGATTTTTATTAATAGTCTAATTGTAATCTTTTACTTTAAAGGTATTTATTAGTTTGAGAGATATGAGATTTTAATTTTAAAAAGATAGGCTATTGAGTTTTTCTATTACACTTCGTCTTGGTTTCATTATTTATGCACTTACTATATGTAAGATCATAAGCACTCTTGGACACCTCGAACAAAATAGAGGACAGCCTCTTGGATGTTTGCACTTTTTAATCTTAATAATTATAAGGTGGCCACAGGTGTGCTGTAACAATGAAAACTGTGAAGACATGGATCTTGCCCCTTAGCCCAAGGAAACTGGAGCTTATATTAGCTTAGACAGGTACATACATCTTATTGAAACATGGCTCTGATCATATTGCTACCTTGATGTAAAACCTTCAGTGACTCCTTTAGTTTGACTTTGGAGGCTTTTCTAAAATCCTTACCCTAAGTCTACCACAATGAGATAACACTTCACACCCACTACGAAGGCTGTAACCGATACTAACAAGTGTTAGCAAGGAGGCAGGAAAATCGGAACCCTCATACAGTACGGATAGGAATAGAAGATGGCTCAGCTGCTTTGGAAAACACGCCGTACTTCCTCGAAAGGTTAAACAGATACCATATGACCCAGCAATTCTGTTCCTTAGTATACCCCCAAGAAAAGTGAGATCACGTGTCCTCACAAAAACTGTACAAGAATGTTTAGCATTATGTAAAATAGACAAACAACTGGAATGTCCATCTACTGATGATGGGAAAAAATAAAATGTGGTATATCCCGCCTTGGCTGGCGCAGCTCAGTGGACTGAGCACCAGGCTGCAAAGCAAAGGGTCGCCCGTTCAATTCCCAGTCAGGGCACATGCCTGGGTTGCAGGCCAGGTCCCCGGTAGGGGGCGCATGAGAGGCAACCACACATTGATCTTTCTTCTCTTTCTCTCTTCCCCTCTAAAAATAAAAAAATAAAATCTTTTTAAAAAATGCGGTATATCCCTACAACAAAATATTTGGCAATTAAGTATTTTTACAGTGCTGTAAAATGGAGGAAACTTGGAAACATTATGCTAAATGAAAGAAAGCCACAAAAGACCACATATTACATGATTCCATTCATATGAGATGCTCAAAATAGACAAATCCATGGAGACAGAAAGTAGATTAATGGTTGTATAGGGCTTGGGAAAAGGGGCAATGAGAGTTCCTTCTAATGGGTGAAGTTTCATTTTGGAGTGATGGTTACAAAATCTGTAAAAAAAAAACAAAACCCCAAAACAAATCCCATTGAATTGTGTACTTTAAAAGAGTGAATTGTGTGGCCAGAAAAGGATTATCTGGAGGCAAATGTTTACAATACTCAATAGAGCTGTTATTTTAAAAAATCCTAACTCTAACCTACTTTCCCGGTCTTATTCCCATTCTTTCACTTGGCCTCAACCAGTTTTACTTATGTTCTTTTACCCTGCAATGCAACCCTTTCTCCAGTTCCTCAAGACCAAATGCTACCCATCCTTCCAAATCCAGCTAAACTTCCTCCTCTTATACTTGCATAAAATGGAAAAAGTAAACTCTCTTCTCAACCTCTACCAGACTGTGTGTCTCTGGGCATATAACTTTAATGTATTGCAACATAGAGGGGTTGCATGCTAAGTGGCAGCTAGTCAACATTCATCAGCCACCTGTAGTCAAGTTACCCAAGAAAATCCTTTAAATTGCCTGAACAGTGCAATTCTCCTTACATTTAACTTGCCAGTTTTTTTCCAAGCTTGGAACAGATCTCCGCTCTGTTGAATGCTCGTTGAAAAAATTGACTTGTATTTATAGGTGTACATAAAATAAAGGACAATACTAACAACTTGCATATATGATGATTGGCACCAACCTTCTTCCAGCCCATTTTTAATAGAAACAAGCTCTTGTTTAGTTGAGGGAGGGGGGTTAATAAGATGGGCAGGTGATCAATTGGTTTATGAACTGACTTGTCATTTGAGTCTTCTTTAATTCAGTGTATATTTTGGTGTAAAAATTGGCTTATTTCTAATGAAAGAAATCATCTAACAAATGTTTTTCCCTTATACCACACTAACTGAAAGAAACTGCTTTTCATAAACTTCATAATAACCCTGCATTTTAAACAACTGAATCTGGACCCCACTTACTGCATTGTGGTGGGCTTTTTCTCTGCTGTGACCAGACTGATGTTCCATGGTAGGCTGAAATCAAGACCTACTAAGAGAATGGCAGTTCTGTCTTTCTACCTTTACACTTAATAACAATGGTAGGCAGAATCACTGAATCTTTGAAATATTTTGTTGTTCTCTAATCCTCCACCACATAGAGTTAATTTGTTTAAACAAAATGTGCCATAAGAAGGACTTGTTGAATAAATGAAACTCCTTCCATACCATCGAATACTGTTGTAACTGTTAGGGAAAACAACAGGAAAACTGGGTTTATAACATGATGCTTTGAATTTTGTTTTCAAAGATATATACATGGATGTGTGCATATATGTAAATATGCATATCATTCTAAACAAAAGCGTATTTGCATGTATAAAATATTTCTGGAAGGATATATTGGTAAGTTGGTCATAGCAGTTGCTTCTGTTACCAACTTAGAAAAGGAATTAGCAGTGATAAGGTAATGAGAAAGACTTAGATTCCACTGCGAATGTTCTTCCATATTGTCTTTTACTTTGTGCATATGTTAGATCTCCAACTGAAAAATACATCTTCTTGCTAATTAATTGTTGATAGTTCTTGGTAAATATACGTCAATTTGAGGTATCATTTTAAATGAATAGAATATGTATGTGTTGTGTTAGTTTGTGCTTCTGTTTTGATTCTGCAGCAGCTAAGATATATACCTCCAGTGATTTACATATTTGTGTCTTACAGAGTTACATCCATTTGGGAGAATAGTCTCCAGATCACTACAATTTCTAGTTTTGTAGGATCATGGCTTGGAGCCTTTCCTATTCCACTTGATTGGGAAAGACCATGGCAGGTTGGTTTCAGCTACTTAAAGCAACAAAATTAATGTTTGTACAATAATAAAGCTGATTAAGCATACATATATATGTGCACAAATTGTTTTGTTGTTCAGTTAGGTAGGGATGCCCGTTCCCTCTGTCACTGTAATCTAGGCGATTTCTTCTGGGACCGGGTGTTGGTGCCACAGGCATCCGCGTCAGCCCGGTTCCATCTTCCAGCAGTTTGTTCTTCAGATAGAGGTGAATAACAAGGTTCATTTGTGGATATGTATAGGAGTTTGGATTTTTTGTTTTTAAATTGGGCAGAAGTTGCAGGAATTCCCTGTTTTCACCTTTGGTGTTCATTGCCTTGTGGTCTTAGAGTCATGTTTTTGTTAATGTGATTGATGGCCACATGGAAAGTTGAGCTTGAACAATTTTTTAAAGTGTGTAGCAAATTAGGTTTTTAAAAGGGATGCATGATCTAGTCAGGGGTGTCGAACCTTCTGGCCTCTCTGGGCCACACTGGAGGAAGAAGAGTTGTCTTGGGCCATACATTAAATACACAAACACTAATGAAAACTGATGAGCACAAAAAAAGTCTGTGCATGATTTTCATAATAGCTGTCACCACAGATAAGCAAAAAAGTCCTCACATAATAACCCTAATTATACAGTGGTCCTTCTGATAATCTAAAATCGTGGAGCAGGTCCCAAGTTTGTGATTACTAATATAGAAAATTTACATAACTAAGTAATAAAATTTAGTATAAAACTTAGTAATAAAACTAAGTAGTGTTTTAAGTAAATTTACAATTTTGTGTTGGGCCGCATTCATAGCCATTCTGGCCTGTGGCCTGCAGGCTGGGGGTTGGACCCCCTGATCGAGATGGACGCTCGTGAACATCAGGTCTTTTGTTCCTGTCACAATAGGATATAGCTGATAGGCTAGGTGAAGCACTAAGAGGTAAGCGTTCTTTTTATCCCTGTGCTACAGGTGAGGAAGATGATACAAGGAAAATGTATAACATTTTAAAGTTCACTGAGCTAGTAATGCATATATCATTGTCTTAATTTCTAATAGCTTAGTAGTATGCTATTATTTAGCTATTCCAAAATTTATTTAAGAAATATACTATTGATCATTTAGGTTATTGCCAATATTTTACTATTACAAACAGTGCTATCATAAACATCTTTCAATCTGTCTTCACAGATTTTTTCCAATTATTTTAAGACAATTTCCCCCAAATGGAATTGTGTTATTTAAAAATATTGTTTTACTGACATGAAGAGAATTTTTTTGTTCTGATTACAAAGACTGTACATTTTATTTAGAAAATTTAAATATTAATTATAAAGAAGAAAGTAAAAATTATCAAATATCCAACCTCCTAGATGCCTTTAAACTTTGGACCTTAATGCTACTATCTACAAAATGGAATTAAACAAGATAATCAAGTCTCTTCTGAGCATACTTATTTCTTAAGCAAAAATCAATTTTCTTTAAAACAATTTAAAATTACTTTAAAATATTTGTACTTATTCCCATCAGACACTAGATGAGTGAAGCATTGTTATATTTGAAAATCCTTTGCTTTCTCTGGTCTTATTAGGTTAAAAATTTAATATTTGAAAAACATCTATTTCCTAAAGTCACAGATACCACAGATAATTCTTCCATAAATTTAAGCTAGGGATAATAAGGATTATAACTAAATGAATCACTATACATAATGCTTGAGTGAGGGATAAAACTAAGATTATGGATTTAACTATTGAAGAGTAGCTCTTTTTAGGTTACTTGGTATTTGTTACCAAAGGTATTGTACAATGTTTTAGACAGACCAAATACTAATTTATATGACTAGGAGATGTTCCAAGCATGGGGAAAAAAAACAATACTCAACTGACAGAAAATTGTTTTGGATTTAACAGGTGGGCTCATTCTAAAGTCATCATGTTCATAGTGCTCTGCTAGAAGTTCCAACGTGAGAGAATAGTGCTGGCCAAATTAACTCATTTGCATGATAATGGTAAAAACCATTTAGCGGCACTTTGACAAGAAGTTCAGGCTGGAGACTACACATCTCACCACAAGTGGCTCTTCCCAGACATGTGTACTGTTAGGCATGTGAGAGTGGTAGTGTATGCACAGATCAGCACAGATTTACAACTAGAACAATGTGTCCAGATGAGTAGATCATCTATACTTGTACTCCTCCATCAGGCGGTAGCATTTGCTTTAAGAGCATCTGGAAAAAATCACAGCCAAATCCAGAGGAAAATATAAATGGTCATTTAAAACCAGTAGAAGTGTCAGCAGGCTCTGAAAGATGAGTTCTGTCCTGCAAATGCAAATTTGTGATAAGCACAATAACAAAACAAACAAAAAGTAGCTTGTGAGAAATTTAGAAATGGCTGCCTGGGTTTTATCTTCCATTTTTATCTGAAAGAGCCAGTAATCCTAATGGTTGTTGAGATGTTCAGAGTGTTCTAAGTGTTCTAATCTGCAGATAGGTCAGTTTCCCGTGACATCTGTGATCTCATATCTCCAAAAATTATTGTAACATGTATTTTATGAATTTATTAAAATATATATTCCAAATTAAATAATATTTGTTTGTACCCCAACTGCTTGGCTTATAGTAGAGGCTCCATAAATAGTTAAGAATGGAGTCATTCATATGAGACTCTTAAGAATGACACAAATGTCTACCAGTGGCTAGTTTAGAACTCATTTCTGTACTTAATGCTTCTTAATGTGAAACGACAGCTAGGAGCAGGAGTCCCCTTCTGTTCCTGTGGGGACATGCATGTGGTTAATACAATGAGGTGTGTATTCTCTTACAAAGTTTACACTCCCTAGACATTTCATGTGAAGAATAGCATGTATTAAAAGTTATTACATTATAAGGGCAAGGGAATGGTTCCTACAGCAGGGTATAACATTACTCCGGAACAGTTTTATTTGTCCTAAACTGCTGGTTCTAATTATTACCTAGCAGTGCCAGTTACCTAAGAACTAACATTAGTAACCTAACATTAGTAGGTTACATTAGTGATCATGTAAGTTTTTTCAAGTTAGAACATGTAATATACAAAATGATACTGATGCATGGCACTTTACAGCTTTCATGATTTCATTTAATACAGTGTCCCCATGTTTTAAATACAAGAGGTGCTATTATTCTTGTTCTGCACATTGGAAAACTGAGGCTCAGATGTTCGGTGACCTGGCCTTGCACACTCAGATCCTCCTTACTCCCCTGTCCCATGCTCCCTCCCAGAAAGGCAAAGTTCCCAAGTAAAAATATGAACTATTTTTAAAAGTAGCTAATGTTTTTGTATAATTATTTTAAAACTTTGAGTATTTTAACTAATTTCAACAAAAATCATAATTATATAATTATCTAATTGTATATCTAATACATACCAAATCATCATTTTAGGAAATCTGCAGCAGCTTATATACTGCCATAGCAACAGGCCAAACTAGCTGTTACTAGTCGTTAAAACATGTGGTTACCATTTTAGCGACATAAGATTAAATGTCTACTTGTACTTTATACTAAAGGGACCTACATAATGGTGTGCATGTCATAATTAAGTAAAATGTATTTACTCTCAAGTCGCAGATTAACAAATGCCATCTACATCACTGAAAAATATTTCTTGGACAAACTAGAAGTTAATAAATATACTTGTTAGAGTGAAGGGACTCTTAACCAGAGTCCATAGTTGGGCTTCAGAGGTCTGTGAACTCCTGAAATTATATGCACTTTATACATATAACATATATGGATTGTGTTTGACAAGGAAACATGAATTCTGTTAGATGTAGTTTTTAAAAATTATTTTTTAAAGTACTTAAAATTTGGGCAGGACTTCAGTTTTTTAAAATAGGAGCAGCTTTAGAAATCTCAACTACACACATTTGGGGAATGATGGTTTTCTGTATTGTAACAACTTATACAGGGTGGGGGGAAAGTAGATTTATAGTTGTGCATATGCAAAAGTTTATTCTTGTATTTATTATTGTTCCATAGAACACCTGTAAACCTACTTTTGCTCCACCCTGTATACTCATTAGGAATGTGAACTAAAGATTATCACCAAGTATAGCTCACACGTATTGGTCACTTGTACTATGTACCAGATACTATTACAGGTATGGCTGTACCTTGAACATAGTGCATTATATCATTTAGTCACTACAGCAACCCCAGGAGGTGAGTTTTATAATGACGCTCATTTTGCAGATGAGAAACCAAGGCAACCAAAGGCAAGGTGACATGCCCAGAGTCACGTATTTAACAAATGGCAGAGCTGAGATTCATCCAGCCCAATATGAAAATCAGTGTTCCCTATTCTGTACTACTCAGAACATGCTTTGAAAAAATCGAACTCTACATAGAAATACTCGTATCAGTACATTTTCATTTCCTAAAATGTAAGCAGGGTTCTATCAGAAGAGAGCAGTGTGGTTTTCAGGTAGAAGCAAGCTTGTGCAATTTTGACATGCCTTTCAGCCAGAAGTAACGTCAATATATTTAACAGACAAAACACAAAGTTATAACTATTATTTATTAAGAAACTTTTTCAACTTATTAGGATGCAATTATTTTATTTCTGAGAAATACCTTTTTTCTGGATACCATGTACCCAGAACCTATAATATTAGGCCTTTGTTAATGCTGATTAACTTGAGAACACTGCCCTTTTTTATGTGATGAGAATATAAGGAGTAATTTGATACAGAGAAAGGGTAATAACACACTAAGCAAGATACTTCCTTCACATGATGTAGCTGTTCATTTTTTTAAATGTTTTCCTTTTTAACAGTAATTTTCAGTTTTACCCTCTTGTACTTTATTATCTTTTGTTACTCAACAGGGTTTTTTCTTCTATTTTGTGATTTAAAAATTTTTTTAATTCATAAAAATTGGATAAAAAGATGACCATTGTTTTGGTGGCAAAGACTTCTGAAGGACTTCCTTTACATGGATGTCTTTGAGTTTTTCATTTTCCTTAAACAAAACAAGGTAATTATATATAGCCATTGCAGATTACTATAATTTGGAGAACCCAGTGTTTGTAGCAATGCAGTTGAATTGTCTGTTCAATAGATAATACCATGTTTTTTTAAAAACAAAATCCTTCTAGACATGAAGAATGTTAAATAGAAACATTTCTGTATATAAGAAAAGTACGTAGTTTTAAATATAAACTTCAAGATCTAATTATGAATGTACATGGTTAAGCTAGGATTGCTTAAGTCAGTATAAATTCTGTTGCCATACTATCGATTTAATTTTTTTAAACAATTACAAGGTTAGTAAGAAATTGCTTAAGGAAAAATGATTAGTGGGCAACCTCCCCCAACCCCCTTCAACTACTCCCTTCACCATTCCCTCTCTTGGTCCACACAAATCAGGAAGTTACCGTTGTATAGAGAAATTCTCTTTAAAAAATGACCACATTACAATTGAGGACCACTTTGGAAAGCCTCAGCCATCACTAGGAAACAATCTTCAAAGACAGTCCAACATTTTAATTTGCTGACAGCACGGATTTCTTGAGATGTTTAATAATAACAAATATTCCAAGAAGACTTAACCCCTCATTAGACAAAACTTTTTAACCAATATTTATTTCATTTTTGGCATTCCATGGGAGGTGAAATACAGCAGCTATGTGTGAATGTACGCATGTGTTTAGTAACAAAGAGCCACATTGAAATTACAAGTGATTAAAATAGAATTTAGTAACTCAAACTGGAATTTGGTTGGGATTCCCAAGGGTTTATTATTCTCCCTACTCTTGGACAGCGTGCTTTATAACAAAGTGCAGATGCTTAACACTTGGCCGATGAAAAGGCTCGCAGCATGAGGAACAGAGGAAAGAATATTATCCCAAATGTTTACAGGGTGTTAAATAAAAACTACTAAGGTAAGAAGTGCAATGCTTTACATAGATAGTAAACTATACATGGTATTTTATTTTTAATCCCATGTGTTAAGATGGGACACTGTTAAAGTAACAATCACTTAAAAAGCAACAACCAACAAACCAGTATTTAATTTTTGTACTTAAAAATAACTAAAAATCAAATGAAAGCAATGTCTAAAATAAGTAAAATAATTCACAATAAAAACCGTAACTCAGGCTCTACTTATTGGAAATATGATAACTCAAAGTGGTCTAACCTAAAATGTACCTGTAGAGATAGAATGAAGGTATAAATTAGCAAAGTGTTAAATAAGATTTCAGGGAGCCTCTAAAATTACTTTGAAGAACTTCAGAACTGATTTATATATATGTATATATAAAAAATATTAACTATAAGTGTAAGTTCATTCATACATGACCTTATTTGAAGCAGTGTATTTGCACTCACTAGCAAAATTCACGTCAGTAAGATATTTTTGAAGTATTTTATTTCCCAGATATTTCACTACTTTGAACTAGTTGTTCCAGTGACTAGTCTGAATTTCTGTTGAGACCTAAGCCTTTAATGAAGATGCATTTCTGAAAATAAGGCAATTTTCTACAATCTGCGTATGAATAGAAAACAAATCTTTGGTTTTTTGTTAAAGTGGCAGGAAAGATTTTGCAAAAAGAAATACTACAGAGCCAAAGCAATGAAAAGGCTCTTAATAAGCAATGGGAAACTCCAACCCCCATCAAGGTCAACAGAGCACCTAAGGCACCTCAGGTTCAGATGAAACAATCATCTTTGCTTTGAGTTCCAATAATCTATGTACAGGATTTTTACCACCTTAAAATGTGAAGCTGAAAGGGTAATGTCCAACTATGATTATTATGAAAAAGAAGAGATCATGAGAGTTGATAAATGAGAGTGGTATGGAAATCATCTATCTTCCATATTTATAGATGAGGAAACTGAGGCCCATTCTTGAAACAGGTGATACCAGAGCTGTGTTTCCAGAGTCCTAGTCCCTTTCTGTTAGATTGGACAAATTCTAGGTTTTAATTTCCACTGGCTAGTGAAACCAAATGTGAAGAAAAGTTTCAGAAATGTGAATTTGAGAAAAAATAAATTCCCATTAAATCCCCAAAGACAAGGTGGAAATGTATAATACTTTACTGTCTTAATTCCTTTATACCATGTATTGGACACTTTAGCTAATATATGAATTGATTTACACAATTCCTTTCAACTCTATCTAAAAATAGCAGACCAAAATTAAATGAGCACATTACATAAGATTCCATTTGAGCATTCATAAGGCCATGGTACTTAGTGTGAACCACAACTTCTTGGGAGAAAGAAGAGATCCACTGTCCGGTTCAGAGAGAATGCTCCTGACTAGTTTATCCAGTAGACTCTCCACTCTTCAATGGGGAAGATGATGCTTCTGTTTTAAAAAATCTCTACAAAGCTCACATACAATACAGTCCATCCTAGATTTGTGACTGATGATGAGTATTTAAGGCTGTCATTTTCAAGTATAAAAGATTAGTGTTCATTACCCAATCTGTGCAATAGACATAGCTATAAGCTCAAGTCATGGAAATTAACAGGAACTCACCAAAGACATAAAATCATAATTTAGGCAACTGTGAGTTTAAATGTAGAAAAGGCTGGGGAAAAAAAATGTATGGATTTGATTATGCTTCTCTCTGAACTGCATTGGTTTGTTTACACTGAAACTTTGCCTAACATATTGTCTGTTGATGGCATTTGGAATAAGGCAGGTCCACAGCAGACCAACCAAGGAAGCTTAGTTAGGTAGCAGAGCTAGCAATTAAGATGGTTCACCTCTAACACAGTTCTATGGCCTGTTCCCCCAGAGAAAGATTAGAAATGGCTCTAGCATACTTCACAGATGACATGAAAACTTTTTTTTTAATACAGGGCCTTGCACCTAGGGACCAACATGCACTGCTTTGGATGGAATAAATCAACATTTACTTCTGGCTTAGTGTACTATTGTGAGATATTACAATTTGGCTGGAAAAAAATGAGCATCTGGAAGCCAGTATTTTGTTTAACTTACACTTAAGTTGGTAGTTCTACAACTTCTGTGATGGTTCCAATATCTGTATCTGAGAGGTGACATCAGTTTTATAATGGAAGCAGTTGCTTTGTTATAAACTTCATATGACATGCTTGAATTCTAGGTCTTTCAACACAATTTAAAGTTTCTTGTGGTTTGATCATCATAGACACTTCTCATTTCATTTGATATACAAAACAAGCCAATGTGGAAATTCAAAAACAAAATTACCAACTTCAAAGAGCTAAATTGAGTCCAAGATTATGGCAAAGTCTGACCCAAAATTTTAATTTGTAACTTTAGCATGTCTCTCATGCATTTTGGGGAGCATCAAACTAAATCTACAGTTGCCAGAAGCCTTGTTACAATTGAATGCACATTAACTAAAACGTGTACATTTTTTAGTGTTCATGATAAATGCAGTTATGACCTTATTACACTTTTGGCATTCTTTAAGAAAGCACATTAAGCTTTAATATAGAAATATTTAGGTTACACTTAATTTGTGCTCAAGTAATAATAAAACGTTTGTTCTCTTTTGATCTCATACATTGTCTCCTCAGGTATGGCCCATCTCCTGTACGCTCGGAGCGACCTTTGGCTATGTGGCTGGCCTTGTTATTTCACCACTCTGGATATACTGGAATAGAAAGCAACTTACTTACAAGAACAATTAATTGGAACAAAGGAAGAAGTTTGTTTTTTTGTTTTTTGTTTTGTTTTTTTGGGTTTTTTTTTTTTTTTTTTGTGCAGATTCCATAAAGACTGTGCAGAAATGTATATGGTCTAAGCCAGGCAGTTCCATTTATAGCACTGTTTTTTATGTATTACATGATTGTAGCTTTTTAAACTATGAAACCCCTGAGAGATTGTACCTTCTAGTTGAAATAAAGTATTTATAATAGATTGTGACTTCAGGTGCTGTTTGCTGCTTCTTGGACCTTTAAGAAACATTCTTAATGAACTCGATAGAATTCTGAGGACAGGGTTGTTTTTTCTTTCAAGTTTTGAACTGTTTCAGCATTTGTAAGAGGTCTAGGGATAGCTGTAGCATTTCATATGCTTTCTTAGAGAGAAATAGAGAGTTTCCTTGGCCACTGAAGATGTTTCTCACGTAATCAAACAACAGTTTATACATCTTGATCCTATTCTTTTTTTTACTGTGTGTTTCTTTGGAGTTAAAATGGCTATGATAGCCTCATCAAAAACAGTCTTCAATCCCTTCTGGGTTAAAGCTGAACATTCCACATAGCAGCACGCTCCTATCTGGGAGGGAGAAAAAGAAAATCACAAATACATAAAATCTTTTTTATACAACAGGTATGACTAAAAACACCATTATAAGGAACATTATAGAATACAGCTATGCAAAAAGAATGAAATCATCATAATACCCAGAGATAGCTAACTGTTAAATTACTAGTGTATATCCTTCCAGACTTTTTTGTGAAAAGCTCTTCAAATATTTACTGGGTACCTCCTATATGCCAAGCACTGCTTTAGGTGCCGGGGATAATGTCACTGAACTGAACAACAGAACAAAGTCGCCGCTGTATGAGGCTTACATTTGCTTAAATTCTGGGGGAGGGACACAGGAGGGGTGCTGGTACCTGCTCTGGAGAAAGAGCAGAGTGCGGAAGAGGCGGAGAGCAGAGGACATGGGTGGTGGCCGGGGAAAGCTCTACAGGGTGGCGTTTGAGCAGTGAGGAATCTCTAGGGGAAGAATTCTAGGCAGACAGAGCCACTGGTTTAAATGTCCTGATGCAAGAGTTTGCTTGGAGCATTCCAGGAACGGGAAGGAAGCCAGAGTGGCAGGAGACAGTGAGTGGGGAATGGCGAGAGATGAGGTCAGGGAGGGCCTGGAGGGCACTCGAAAGACCTCAGCTCTGAGAACTGATGGATCATTCATTCATTGAAAATGTACTGAGCACTGCTATTTGCCAAATGAGAGAATACAGCAAGGAACAAAAGCAAGTCTACTCATGAAGCTTACACTTCAGAGGGAGAAGACCATGAGCTAATAAATACAGAGGTAGAAATGTCAGAGGGTAGAATGTGGTCTGCAGAAAAATAGAGACACAAGATACGTGAGGCATGGGAACAAGATCCGGCAAGGTTTCATTGACAAAGTGATATGGGAGCAGAGACCTGAAAGAAGCTAAAGAATGAATAATGTTCCAGAGGGCAGGAGATTCTAGGCAGAGGGAGCAACAGAAGTTCAAAGTCCTGAGGTAGAAGACTTTGGGGAACAGCAAGGAGGCCATGTGACCAGGGCAGAGAAGTAGCAGGGGCTATGTTGAGGGCTTTGGCCTTGGCTCTGCATGAGCTAAGAGCCACTGGAGAATTCTGAGCAGAGCAGTGACCTGATGGAGCTTATATTTTAAAAGACTCACTTGGGATGTTGTGTTGAGCACAGACAGGAGAGGAAAGGTGTTATCTGTCCCCATAACCCAGGCTAGAGATGGAAGGGGCCTGAACTTGACTGATAGGAGGGAATCGTGTGGAACATTTGAATTCTGGATATATTATGAAGGTAAAGCAATATGTTTCGCTACAGAGTTGTCTATATCATATAAGAACAGCAAGGTCAAGTGTGACTTCAAGATTTTTGACCTGCGTGACTGGGAGGAGGGTCTTGGAGGATTAAATTAGGAATTGCTTTGGACATGTTAATTTTGAGATGCTTATCCACCAAGATGGACTTGTCAAGTGCATGGCTGGATAACCAAGTCTAGAGTTTAGGGAAGAGGTCCAGCTGGAGGTAGAAATTTGGGAATCTTCAGTAGAAGGCTGTTCAAACCACAAGGCTGACAGAAGCTCACCTGGGCCTAGAGAATGAGTGTGGATATAGAAGAAAAAGAGTCCAAGAAGCTGAGTGCTGATCCTGGGTCCCGCCATCCTTCAGAGACAAGGAGATGAGGAGATACAGGAAAGGCCACCAAGAAGTGAGAAAAACCAAAGAGAGGACATTCAAGGAAGCCACGTGAAAGTATTTCACAGAGGACCCAACTGCCAAATGCTGTTGAGAGGCCTAAAAATGGGATCACGTTGTTTCACAACCACTTTTTTTCCTTAAACTACATAATAAACGTGAACATCTCAATGGAAATAGATGCAGGGATTTTTGGGGGCGGGTGGGGGGACTTTATAAACAATGTAGCAACTTTGTAGCCATCTCTCTAAGCACATCCAAAGAGTTTTCTTAGGACAAATTCCTACATATGGAATTGCTTGATCAAAAGCGTGCATGACTTTAAGGCTTCTGCATATTGTCAAGACTGCTTTTACTCAATGACCAAGATAACAAAACATCCATTTCCTTGCAGCCCTGAAAGAGGGGCTATTATCATTCATTTCTCTCTCTCTCTCTTTTTTTTTTTTTTTTTTGCCAACTTTACAGGTGGAAATTGAACTTACACTTGAGTACTAAGGAGTTTAAAAATATTTCCTATCTTCAATGGCAATCTGCATTTTTTTTTTTTTTTTGGTGGATTTCCCATCAATGTTCCTTACCCCATTTTTCTATTGGGGATATATGTCCTTTTCCAATCAATTCATATGCAAAGGGCTCCTGTGTACTAAGGATATTAATCCATTTTTCTGCCATACGTGTCAAGTTTGTTATATGACTTTTAATTTTATTTCTGGCATTTGATGTATTAAATTTTTATGTAGTTAAATCATCAATATTTTCATTTATGATTTTTACCTTTATGGCATTTAGAAATTCCTCCTCTCCCCAAGATTACAAAATTGAATATGTGGAATTTCTAACGTGATTTGTTAGTAAAGCTATTTGTCTTTTGCTTTACGAAAAACTGTCCTCTCACAAGTTTTCCTGCTCTGCTCCTGCCTCCTGATAGTACATTTTAAAGAACCTTATTAGAATCTGTTTCCACCAAAGACCTATTAAAGTCACATCTAAAAAATAGAATCCAATAATGTTAAGGCCCAACAGAGAAAAAAGTAAGCATAGCTCTGGGGTGAGGAAAAATACAAGTTAAAACACATTATGCACATCACCATTTCATATTTTTTTGGAATGCCAGTTTCCTATCTTTCATAAAAAGACTGGAGGAAAATTCAACTAATTTCTTTTCAAACCTAGCCATGATGTTTTGCTTTTAAATGCAGATTTAATCTGTGGCCCTATGCCCCTCCACTACCTACTCTATGAGTGTTAACTGAAGACAGAGCCTGATTTGGCACAAATGTCTAAGTGATTACGAAGGTCTTAAAGAGCAGCATGTTTTCTGATGCCTCTTTCTACACATGACTTAACAGGAAAATACTGTTAGTGGTATCCCAGTCTGGGCTCTGGAGACAGGCCTGGCCTGAAACCCAGCTCTGCCATTTATCACCTGAGGACCTTACAAGTTAATGCTATCACCACGCCTTCCTTTTCTGTTCAGTAAAAGGGAACTAGTCAGACCTGCCTCAGAGTCGGTGCGGATGAAATAAGACACGGAAAGCACTCAGCACAGTGCCTGGCATACAGTAAGTGCACAATAAATGCTAGCTTCTAGTATTACTTTAGCTGCTTTTACACTTATTCATAAATTCTGTAAAGGTTCCATTACCTCTTTTGCTAGTTTCTGTCCTTGTTCCACACATATAGGTTTTTCTTTCATATCATTCAGTCTTGCTAAAGTTTTGGGGTCATCTCGGAGATCAATCTAATTAAGAAAGGTCAATAATGTCCCATAATATTACAAGTCTTTAAAAATGTTTCAAAGCATATAGTCCCACTTCATCCCCACACACCAGTAAAAGATTACACAAAGGAACTTAATTTTTAAAACCAGCTAATATAATTGCTTTCTTTCAGCACTACTTTTTCCAAAACTGTGATAGAATTCATCATAACTTACAACAGAGCTTAAACAGGTATACCATTTGCTAATCCTTAGGACCATTTGTCTCAAGGCAACACCACAAGCTAGGCCAGAGAGTCTTCTTTAATGAGTAAAATCAAAGCAGACATACCTGAGTTCCTATTAATAAAAAGGGTACATTTGGTGCATATTCCTTAAGTTCTGGTACCCACTCCTCTTTCACATTTTGAAATGAGGCTGGATTTACCACAGAGAAGCATATAAGGAAGACATCAGTCATTGGATAAGATAAAGGCCTCAGACGATCATAGTCTTCCTAAAGAAGAAAGAAACACCTCATTATTTCCATTTTCATTTCTTTAGTTTACTAATAACACGTACATTAGATTAACATAGTCAAGGAAACAAAGCCAGGAGTATTCTGCAAGTGAAATATATAGCATTCTACATCAAACAAGGTAATCCCATTTGTTTTGTTACTTTTCCTTTTGAAGGTCTGAACACCAGTGGGGCGAGAATATGACAAGATCGTTGTCAACTGGAATGAAACTTAGAGAAAATATACTGTGATTACTAAAGTTGTCACTGGAAACAATTTTTTCGCACAAAGAATTGCTAGCCAGATTTTGTCCAAGTGTTATCATTTACAATCACTAACACGTACTGAAAGTGTACTGTGTCAGGTATGGAGCCACATGCTCTCCCAGGTATTACTTATGTAATTCTCACAACAACTACATGACAACATAAGTACCATATCTCCGTTTTCCTTTTGAGTAACTGAGGCACAGAAGTTAAATAAGTTGTGTAAGGATGTATAGCCACCAGGTAGAAGAGGTGAGATTTAGACCCTGGCAGGTTTATGCCTTCTTCAAGGAGACCTTAAATCTTTGCTTTCCTGTTTGTATAGATTTTTTAAAATCATGTGTGTGCACGCGCATGCATGTGTGCGAGCGTGCATGCATGTGTGTGAAAATACATAGATAGAAATATATATAAAGGGAATTCACAATAAAACTCTTTCCTCTCCAATTTCCATACTGAAATGGAGATGTTTTCACATGTATCTTTCCAGAACTTTTTTCATGCATGTATATACCTACAACTGTACACATTCAAACACCTGTGTACTAGAAGAGACCGCACAATCCATGTTGTTCTGCACCCTTTGGCATGTCTTGTGGGTCTTTCCAGATCAGAATTCATTAGACTGATATGTAATTTTAAACCACTGCTTTGTATTCCACGGAAGGGCGGTACTACTGACAGCTTTAGCACCTTTCACAAAAGGCAATGAAGATTCTGTCTTGCTTAGACTATTTTCTACGACACAAAATTCTGCTTATTTACATTCTAGGGAGTGAACAGAGTTAGGATTCTATTTTTGTCGAGGCAAGCCTATCGTCTGGTTTCAAGGAAACTTTATTTTGAGCCGAGGCCACCACCCCTCTTAAATGACCCACTTCACTACTGGAACTGCAATGCACATGGAAGTGAAGGAGCAAATATGAAGAACATCTTCCACTCGGATTTTCAGCAGTAGTATTTCCCTCGTGGAACAATTTTTCTTGCATGTCATCATCTAATATTTTTCTCAGTGTAATGTTCAACGCAAGCATATTACGGCTCAAAGTCTTGACTTTGGAGTTAACCCTTCTGTTCCTCAGTGATGCTTCCAAAGAACACACCCACAGTCTGGAGCTGCGGGCACTGAAAGGTTTCTCAGGTGTTGGCTATTAGAGGACAAGAAGGAAGAGCCACCCCCAAACTTCTTTACCCTTTGTTGTTAAAAGCAGAGGCTTCTAATTGGTTTTGAATAAAGGAGTGCTCTGCAATTAAGAAATTAATAAAGAAATCAAGTAATGTGGGTATGAAACATGTTGTATCCCGGTCAGTCAGTATCAGTGGACTCTTATCAAAAATAGAACATGTCTTTAAAAATCAATTTCAGTGTAAAATGATACAGCATTAAATATATACTTTCTGCTCTCTGCTGCCTATTTCAAACTGCATGTCATTAAGGCAGGGGGAGGGAAGGGGCAGCATTTAATCGTAGCATCTACCTAGCAACTCTATATTCCAGAGGGAAAATTTGGCATGGTCAGGGAATGGGGTGCTCTTGTTAAAAATCTCCCTTCGTTGCCCTGGTTGGCGGGGCTCAGTGGGTTGGGTGTCATCCTGTAAGCCAAAAGGTCACCGGTTTGATTCCCAGTGAGGGCACATGCCGAGGCTGTCGGTTCAGTCCCCAGTCAAAGAGCATACAAGAGGCAATCAATCGATGTTTCTGTCCCTCTCTTTCTCCCTCCCTTCCCCTCTTTCTAAAAATAAACAAATAAAATCTTTAATTTAAAAAGAAATCTCTCCACATTCATTTTTAGATTTCCAGTTTTCACAGAACTAGAAATGGGGTTACTATCTCATAGGATTATGAGGAATTAATGAAATTATGCAACTAAATCCCTCGGCATAGTGTCAGGCACGTAAAACGCTCCAATGCTTTCACGTAAATTCTTCATCCCACAGGAAACTGACTCTCAAGTCCTTCCGTAAACCCCCGCAGGGTCCCAGCAGCCCCACCCCCGGCCTGGGTTTGCCTCTCTCTCCAACCACAGAGGAGAAACTCCTTTATAGCGAGAAATAAAATTTTCTACACTGGCATCAAAACACACAAATCAAACGGAGGTCTCTTGAGGGCAGTATAATTTTCAGATTAATAAAAGAGAATACTATGACTATACTAATTAGTAGGTTGGGGACTCATGAGCCTTAAGACTATTGAATATAGTATTTCTAAGAAAGCCAAATGAGATTTTTAAATGAAATTTTACATTGCAAGCAAGTTTACCTCATCAGGGAAATAGAACATGCATTCTTTCTCTAGAAGGTATTACAAAGAATAAAAAGTGAATGCAAAATTCCCTAGAAATGTTTGATAATATTAATGCAAATATTCTATAGAACGTAAGGGTTGTATGGATTGCTTTCATAACCATACTATATAATGACTTTCCTCAAAGAGGGACATGAGAGCACAAAGAAAAGGAATTAGACTAATCATTTCTAGATATCTGTTAAATTGCAGATTTTGCTGAAATAATTAAAAGGTGAATTTGCCCTGACCTCTGTGACTCAGTTGGTTGGGCATCATCCTGCAAAGCAAAAGGTTGCCGGTTCAATTCCCAGTCTGGGCACATGACTGGGTTGCAGGTTTGGTCCCCAGTTGGGGCATGTGCAAGAGGCAACTGATCAATGTTTCTCTCCCATATTGATGTGTGTCTCTTTCTCCCTCCCTTCTCCTCTCTCTAAAAATAAATAAATAAAATCTTTAATAAATTTTAAAAATGTGAAGGATTTGGGTTATAAAAAATAAAGCAAAGATAAGTATGTTTAGAACTCCTTAAAAACAAATGTTACCTCTGAAGTCTGAACTACCTAAAATGAACTCCTTCTGCCAGTAATCTCCAGCTAAATAATTGGCAGTTATTATAAGAATGAGACCTTTCTGCTTCCATCCAGCCTAAGTAATTAGAAGTCTAATAATAGAGAGCACATTAAAAAAATAAATTATCCTCTATGCGTACTGTACCCTGCATCATATAAAATATACGTATATCCACTATGCAGTATCTTGAGTGAACTTAATGTGAAATTCTGGATTTGAGGATAAAGAAATTTCATCTCCAGCTATATAGTGTAAATTTGACAACACAAAGAAAGTCGAATGTGGAGCAACTGCCCTTGATTTTAAGTAGCCACTTATCAAAGTCAGAACTTCTCTCTTTTTTCCCTTTTCAGAAATTAATCTTTATTGTATTTTTTCATTACCATTTAGTCCCTTTATTCCCCTTGCCCCCTGCAATCACCACACTGTTGTCCATACCCATGAGCCCTTTTTCCTTTTTGCTCAATCCCTCCACCCCCAGCCTCCTCCACCCCCACAACGTTTTGCTTTGTAGGATGATACCAACTCTCTAGTGTCCTCTTAATTAACAGATCAATTATATTTTAGTTCTTTAAAAAAAGGTAGGTTTTTAGACATTTCAGCATTGGTAACCGGAACTTTCCCAGTAGAGAAAACTGTATTAAAGACAACTGTCTTACATCAGAACCATGAAAAACAATCATGAGTTCGATCAACAGGATTATTGGACTGCTTAGTAAAAGCTTTAGTTTCTGACCAACTGGCTAAGTTCCAGAAGTATCCATTTTTTTAGAACTTATCCATTTTTCTGGTAGCTTAGTGATTAAGCTCTCCACTCCTGTCAAGAGTCTCTTATCTGCAACGACAATCTTAACCTTTGAAAAATATTATGCATTTACAACCTGACAAGGCTCCACAGACAAAAAGAGACTGAATGCATGTGCTGTGAGAGGAAGCAGAAGACCTTCAGGTGTACAGAACTACAGCAGGGCCTTCGGGTGGGAGACCCCCTTTTATACACAGCTCAGCCAGCAGTGCCCATGACCATCCCCACTTCTAAACGACTTTTGTCCTCTTCATGTGGACCTGGCGCTCCCTCCTACTTTAGTGAATTCTCGTTAAAATACGTATTTTTTAGCATGCGTACGCCTATTTAAAATACGTATCTGAAATATGAACTTTAAGCAAAACCACTCACGTTGGATAGCACAGGTCTTGTCATGCTTTGTTAACTGGTAAGCTGTCACACACTGGTCACTTCGAATCAATTAGCAAAGATTCACTGAGATTGTACTGCATGGAAGATGTTCTCAGGATACACAGACATCAATACAAGAAATAATTGTCTTCTCTGGAGCTTATAGTTTAGTTGGAAGTTCAAGACATACACATATAAAGACACAGTCATATACAATAATGGGAGAAAGAAGAGGGTAAACTGGGCAGGTGTATATAAAAATGCTTAATCTAAAGAAACATTAATAAGTACCTACTGTATGTCCAGAAGGGTGTGAAGGGCAATCTTTAGGGAAATGCAGAAAGGACAAGACTCAGATCACATTTAATTTACATAACACCTTATAAACATTTGCAAAGCTGTGTCATAAGATTCTGTAAGTTATAAACAAGGCAGCAAGCTGAAATGAGCACTAAGAGTCAGTACCCGCCATGTACTCGTGCACCTCAGTAGAGCTCTGCAGACCTCAAAGCCACACCCCAGAAGCAAAGAAGAAACTGCAGAGCTGGTGTGGGAGCCTGCATAAGGGTAGCACCGAGGAGGGAGAATTTGATAGGTGGAGAGGCACACACACATTTACAAGAGTACCTGCTCTTAGGGAGTGCACAGTAAGGGAGACATATGTATGTGAACACTGTATTATACGTCAGAATATGGT